AAAATTCTAACATTTAAACCAACTAAACAATAACATAGTAAACTTGCATAATTAAACAGCAACAAAAAATGATAGGTTTTACTAAATCTTTTCCTGTGCAATTATTACTAGCATTGGAGACAAGGATAATAGTTTGTTTGAAAGAGAAAAGAACAAGCTTTGAAGTAAGCCTAAAAGCGTTTAACTAGAAATAGTATTTCGAAAGTTATTAAGCACAAAAGATGAATTGCGTTTATTTTGATACACCCTGTATAGTAGTGGACCAGGAACTGCGTGACCCAGTTTCGATCTTGTGCAAATCGTTAAATGTTCAAAACCTTCGAGATTTTGACTTGAGACGCAAATAACTATTGTATACACTTGTGAAACTAATAATTCTCGAAATTGCATGGCAGCGTAGACTGAGTTCGCTAAATGTTTTGCTTTAATTTGGTCATGCAAGATATACTTTATCCGAGCAAAAATATGCGTCTATAGTCATGCCGTGTACAATGTGTAAATCTGGACAATGCATTTCAAAACATAGATAACTAAATGCGCAGTTTTCAAAAGCATATATACTCGCATTCGAATTCCATAGATAAGTTAAATGTCCCACAATATTAAACATGCCCAGCGTAAATTTAACTTTTGCCGTAACAAATTTTGCCGTGCCATTGCAAAATATTGCAGCTACAGTCGTGTACGTGCCGTGTACACGGGACTTAAGTTAAGGTAACAAATTATCTGAATTGTTGCTATAGGTTTATGCAGTTCATTTCGCTTGGTCGTGTCTTCATAACTGCATGCTTGTGCTAAAAACAAAGTGACATGTCTTTGTTTCTACGGTTCGCGATTTTCCGGCTATGACTATGAATATTATATGATAGCCAGATAGGAGTATATTACTCATCTACGCAGACTGCGCTTTGAGAAACTAAGCCAGCCTGTTAACGTTACATTAGTCAACTTGAGTCTTAACGCTTATAATATTAATAATATGTATATATTATTTGCTACGAATACAGACAAAAATTGCTTGTATTTCGCTTCTAAAGTAAAATGAAAAATCGAACACCGTCAATGGGCCAATTGCGGAATTGCTAAGCATCATGGTAGTTTAGTTACACAGCAGAATTTTTCAACATGGCGCTTATACTTTTCGAACGAGGAAAGGTGCTAAACACATGAGAATTGAAAGAAAACTTTTATCATTTTCGCTTTGATTAAAGTTTTGACTAAATCTGTCCGACTTGTTTCATATTTCTACTTCGTCTTGGACTTCTACGAGCTAGTGCGGTTGAAATATTTAACATGGCGTACAAAGTCACTGAAGCGGGGAAGGAGTTCGACTCGTAGTAGTCAGGCACAAATTTTTGAATATTTCACAACATGAAGGTGAGTACCGCATTAAATTATTTTCGAAAGAAGGAACACGTTTTAAACTATTATTTGCCTAAACATTTTAATGATCGGTTTAATTCTAGCGACTCGAGAGACAAAAATGTTTGCACACTTGACCGTCCCAAAACAACAGATGTTTGATCAAACGTTCGTTTCACAACCACAAAACATTGAGGTCGTTTGGCGCGAAAAATCAAAACAGTTACTGTTTGAAATACCGAGCTTTCACATTTCAAAGGTTTTCAAAGATTTATAAAGTACTTTTAAGTACTATTCACTGCTGTTCAAGTGTCTTATTAGAGTTTTTAACTACAACATATTTACGCGAGTCAAATTTAAAGCAACCTCGCTTGTTTCGAGTACATTTTGGAAAGTTTCGAGCCGTTTGGTTTGCTGTTTGTTTGCATAAATATGGCAAGTGACACGGAAAAAGTGCTAAAGGTAAAACGTACAGAGGAACGACCTTTTGTGTGCCACTTTGTCGAAGCGAATTTTATGGCTGAATTTTATATTGAGAATACAAAGTGAACCTTTTATAAAAAAGCCACAAAGTGTGTTTCTTACACTGAGAAATCTTTTAGTGCATTGCCAACTCTCGTTAAAATATCATGTAGACAAACTGTAAACAGTAGCCAAGGCAGGGAACATATATAATTAATATAGACAGCTAGTGAGACCCAACAACCCAGTTTGAACAACAAACGACTGCATTGATACACAAGAGTCAACCAATGAAAGATTAAAAACTGAACATGCAGCTTTACAGTTATCATCTAATTGCGAATAGAACATGTACTTGCCAGTGACACAAATTTTAAATTCTATACAGGTTTTCAAAATTATGCAACATTTAAAGTTTTCTTTGACTTTCTGCAACCACCATGTAATTTCTTAACTTATGCTGGTTCGAGTAACCCAATGAATAAAAAAGCTGCGGCGAAAAAGATCCATGTCGCCTACTGTACGTTGTGGTCTTATACGGGTTGACATATTGCTCTCTGAATTGGCATTTCACAGCACATGTTTCTCGTATATGGGCTACTTGGTTAGAGTTTCTCTATCACAAGTTAGGATCATTACCCATCTGGGCATCACAAGATTATATACAACAAACTGTGCCACAGCCTTTCAAAAAAACCTACCCAAATACCTGTGTAATTATTGATTGTACAGATTGAACAACAAATTGAAATGCCAACATCATTTAGAAGTCAGTCTGCATTTTTGAAAATGGGCACTTCACCTCACCTATCCCAAATGTTGTTGGCTCTGCATAATTATATAACAAGTAGTCTGGTTTCACCAAGCCATGGAGCTTCTGTGTTAACAAATAACCCACACTGAACACATGCAGTCATTACACATGCAGTCATTATCGGTTAATCCTGAATTATTTAGCTCTAAATGTTTTTTCAATGGCAATCTGCTCATTACGGTTGCCCCACTTGACATGCTTTACATTGCTTGCTGGCAAAATGATTTTGCTAAGAAGTGATGTGAGGAAAACATTTTCTCTTCGTTTCATTGCCATACTGAAATGTGAGGTAGTTACAGTAGACGGCCTTGTTGTTCATGAAACCAAAGTTTGCTCTGTGACTGACCTAGAGCTTGTATTGCATTCAATGTCAACCATTTGTTCTTTGGGTGTAAAAAGAGTGTTTCGAGTATCTGGTCTATATACTCCAGAGAAGGCAAATATTTGCACACTGCTGCAGAGGCAAATGCTTGCACACTGCTGCTAGGAACAGTAAGTTGTTCCAGTATAGATGTTCAAATTTTGTATCGTACATTTGATTTCCAAATAGGTTTGCATTATTGAATGCCTTTTTTGAAGGCAATTCCAAAACAAATTCTTGATATTGGAAAGGTTCACAATTGTTGGATACTAAAAGGCCCTGCAAATAATCACAAGTGCCAACAGTTTTCAAACCGGTCTTCACATTTTCTTAAGTCTTCAACATTTACATGTTTAACAAAAGCAGATGCTGGGGTTGTTGTAGTTTGCTGTGCAATGTTTTTTCGGTCTTGAAAGTTGCCTTGCTTATTTTTACTTTGTCGAAAAGCACTGCAGTATCAAGTTTCTCATTAGTAAGTTCAGTGACTGTCAGACTGTGTACATGTTAAATCATGTGGGACTTCAGTTTAATAATTGAAGTTGGATATTGAAATAGCAGGGCAGCTACATGTTTACAGCAACGGAGCCACCTGTACAAGTGCAACTTGCACAAGATATTTACTGTCGTTCCAATTGAAGTGTTGCTCAAATATCGATTCAATACATTACCTCGGGCTGACCAATTCATTTCATCAAGTTCCTCGAAATATTCATACACTTCCTAGTATAATTGTAAACTTCCTGTTGAATAGTTGAATGCACCAATCACCTTTGTTGTTTGTGCAACTAACCAATCATAAATGGAAAGGAAGTAACCAGAAATCATCAAATTCTTGGAATTGGCTCTTTCACAGGAAGTGTATGAATATCTCGAGGAAATTGATCAAATGAATTGGTCAGCCTGAGGTAATGTATTGAATCAATATTTGAGCAACACTTCAATTGGAACGACAGTAACCAGTGTCTTAGACCTAACCAGTGTCTTAGACCAAGTGTTTATCGTATATTGAATCGCGTTATAGTAATTGCGGTGTTGTGATTGCTGGGAATTTTAATCGATTAGAAACAACGCGTTTGCAAAATAGCTTTAAATTAAAACAAATTGTGAATTTCCCAACGCGAATTTCCTAACCCACCCTCGGCTGTCAACTTTCCCTGTGGGAGGAAACCGGAGCGCAGAGCCTCCTTAAGTATTTACAAATAACTTACATGAAGTTTCCTGAATAAAAGTGAGCGTGCGCGGTGATGGTATTTAGCTCTTCCCATCACTCCTTGCACGCTCACTTTTCCCTCACTGGAAACTTCGTGTAAGCTTCTGCAGAGGAGAGAGGGGGAACGCCCAGCTGAGAAAACCCACAACTTTCGGCAGAGCGTTGACTGACTCTTTTCACATGAGTCCGTAGCGAGAATCAAACCCACAATCTCAGAGGTGAGAGGCGCTTGCTCTGACTACTGCAAATTGAGAAAGTGGGAATTGGGAAAACAAGAATTGTTTGGAAACACAACACCTGAAGGGTGGAGTGTTTTCACACAATTTTGAATTTTCCCAATTTTCATGAGTGCTGATATAACTGTATACCATTACGGAAAAATGTTTTATATTTTTTTATAATATAGCACAAAGAAATGTAATGAAAGAAATTTTATGTGTTGATATTGAGTTATATCAACACAGCTCTTAGCCAATCAGCGTTCAGAATTTACAAATGTTATATTATAAACTTTTGTAAACTATATAAATTTTTGTCATTTACTCTTTCTTGAATATATAGATTGCCATAGTTTCTTTTTCTCAGACATCCATTCATGTAGATTTCTGTAATCTAAATTTACAATCTTGTTTTCAAAGTCAGGAAATGATGCATGGCCATGTCTACCCGGGGTGAATTTAAACGCTTTGATTGATGACAAATCCGATGTGATTTGCATCACTGATTCTGTATTATTGCCACTGGATCTATATCCTTTACGCTCTTGTAAATTACATTCTTTGTCAATAGACTCAAATTAGTCTCTCTAGATTCTCTAGTGCTTCAGCTACCCGTGATGCGCTTGCTTTATTTAAATTTGACCCCAGTGCCCTCCAGATGGTTTTCAGAACTTTGTTCTGTTGTTCCTTTTTTAGGTCTAATGAGATATTTCCACCTAGACGACCATATTTGTTATAGAATCTGTTCCACATGAGGTTATGAGCTTCAAATTCAGAATAGATAGCTGCAATTTTAACAAGGTAAAGAAGCACAACATATGAATATTTAGTATGACCCCCAGATTTGTACAGTAGCAATGCCAACTTGTAAATATCATGCAGCCTTTGGCCATCACCCTCTTGTACAGCATCATTGAAATCAAATAGAATCATACCAAACTTAAGCTTTGCACAGTGGTAGTTGTACAGGTGGTCATTGATAATGGGGTCTGGAGTATCATTGACAGAAGTGTCTTCTTCAGGAGTAAATTGTAGATGATTTTTTTTCTCATGCCTAAAATAGCAAAATTATGGTTTAGTCATTTATAACATCATACACATATCCAGTCACATTCTATCAGAAAAACAAAATATTGACATCCTCATGAATTGCCTTAATTGCCAACTACATGTGGGTGTCGTTGCAATGGGTCGGTTCAGAAAAGATCCACACTCCCCCCATGGAGGGAGGGGAGAAAATTCATATATAATAATAGTAAATGTCATATTTTCAATCGCTACTCCAGTTTAATTAAATGAATGCAAAGCCTAGTCAAATCAATTAGACATTGTAAGGGGGTTAATCTCAAATTTCCTCTGTGGGAGAGACCTGTATGGATGTTTTCTGTAATGGCCCAATAACATAATGTGGGATATGTATATATTTTTTTGCAAAATTACCTGTTCCTTGTCGCTTTAGTACTAAAGACATGGCCACAATCAGCACGGCAAAAATAGTATCCATACTCATCCCTAATCTGTCCATTTCGATCATTGTTCATTTGATGTGCACTGATCTCATGACTAAAATTGACATAAATATTTTAAAAATTGCTTGTTTTCATTCATTATCATGGATAGTATTATTAGTAATATTTATTATTTACTTGCAATTGCAGATGACTTAAGTAATGTATAAAAGATACAGATTAATATGGCTGAGAGTGGATCAAAGGCATATCAAATGCACATCAGTCAAAGCATGGCTACGATATTGGCTGGAAATAACTGGAAATACGTCAACTGACTTACAGTAGTTTTGTATCGAATCTATAACATATAGAATCTCAGCCGGGACAAGTAGAGCTTCTCTACTTGTCTGATATGGTTTCAATTGGAGTAGTACCTAATTAGTATAGGATGTTTTCTATTTCTTAAAGTGGAAGTCAAGTCCGTTCTGCGCATCGGTTCTGTTCATAACAATGTGAGGGCCTCTATTAAATGTGAACATTGCCCTAATTTCGAATGTTTCGATTTTTTATGAACATAAACTCTATTTCATATTCATTTAGAAGCATAGCGAACCAAAATGGTGTTAGATATTCAGACAGCACATCAGTTCAAAATGTAAACAAACCGTTTGTTTACATATGGACTTGACTTCCACTTTACATATCAGTCACCTTACTCTTCCTGAGTGATAAACAAATGCTTTATCACATTTTTCAACTCTGCATTTGTATTTCCCAAGAGATGCAAGTTCCAACTGGTTTGTCTGCTGTATCAAGTTATCAAGATCTTCAGAGTCAAAACAATATCTGTCTATGAAGGATTCACACAGACTGAGCAACCACTCTCCTTTTGTTTGCTTGTTGGTTAAGTTACTTGGTAAATTTATAGTCTTAGGAGTCCCTTAAAATAAAATCATGGTGAAAATAAAACATTGTACTAAAAATGTTTTCAACTTATCTTGATACGGTTTGATAATCATACTTATAAATTTGGGTAATTATAATATAATTATATAAGCAGTAATGTGCCATACAGTACATTATTCTTTTATTTAGTCTAACACCGCTTACTGTTTACTGTAGGAGAGAGGTTTTACTTGTCAATGAAAGACCATTGCTCATTATCAGACTAATTATTACTGTAACCCTTTAAGTGGCCATGTCCCTTCATGCTCCCTACTTTATTTTTTTACTGTCTAATGCCAGACGATTTTTCTCATCAAAGACAAGGGAAGAGTGCTGCCACTCAATGGGTTAATCACACTACATGTATTAGTGTCTTTATAGCATTATTTTATTTACCATTTGTATCTTCCATCCCAGTCATTTCCATAAAGGCAGAACAAATATGAGCCTCTAACTCACACTGATGGAACTCTTTGTATTCATTGTATTTCTTCCCTGGTCCAGCTGATGCATTTGTTTTTCGAGTTCTATTCATGCTTGCCTTCGTTGTGCCAAGCTCATTCCCAGAATCAGATTTGCAAAACATGTTAAATTCCATCTGCAATTAGTAGTAAATTAGCAATTAATGTAATCAACATGTTGTTTAATCAGGGTGCATGCAGTGCATTGCCCCCCTTGCCAATCTCAGGGTACATTCAGACCCATTGCCACTTAATGAGTTAAAACTTATAATGCTTATCAAATATTTAAGTAGACGCTGCAATGCCCCATACCGAATCACAGTACTTTACTCTAATGCCAAACAAATTTCTCATCAAGGGGAAAGTGTTAGTGGATAAATACATTTTAAAGATTTGAATAGATTTATGCAGGAAAGACAAAATAATTAAAAAAAAAACAAACCTCGTACAAGTTTACTTTTCCATGCCAGTCAGCAAACTCGGGATTAAGCCCCTTGATACTGTCAAATTCATTGTCACCATCCTGAAATGTCCATATAACATTCCTGGCTCGCTCTTCAAATAATTGGTCTCCATGGAAAGGAATGGGTGTGATAACTTTTTTTGACTCGCCCTTTCCACAAGAGGGAACATACTTGTTTTGATTTTTTATTAACAGTTGTGCCATCTCTCCTGCAATGTTTGGATTATAAAATTCCATCCCAAGACAACACTATAATATTTAAGAAAAATATATATTTGTAAGAACACATGAAAGCACAAAATTTTATCCCTAACACAAGTGCTTGCCCAAGCATATAAGCCTTGGGTGCATTGGAAATATTACACCTTGCAGTCTGACTGTATGTGATCATGTGATCTCTCATAATTTGCACACTTTATACTATTAAATGACTACCCTTGTCAGCACTGAAAAAATACAAACTTCTGCACATACATATCAGTTCCTTTCCCTTATGCATTTATTAATTAAAACTCACAATTTCTGACTTTGTTGAAGCCTCTTTAGAGTATTGATGAGGTATGTGGTTAATTACAACATTTCTCAGGAACGCAAAATATTTGAGGTGCTTGGTTACTACACGGCTAACAAGAATTGCCCATGAATGTTTTAGTCGAGACTGAATGGTAGCAGTTGGCAAAATATCTAGTAGCTGGAGCTGATCAAGACTTTGTCGAGGCTTTGTATTGTCCAGACAAGGGTCAACAACACTATCTCTTATTACAGTCTGGTGAGTCCAGTGGATTGATTGGTTTCCATGTTCCTTTGTTTGAATCCGAGCATTAATTTCGTGGTCAATGTTATCACCAACTAATCTATTAACAATAAATGTAAATCAATGTGTGAATAAAAAAAAATTGAACCAAACATATCAGATGTTCATATTGGAGAGTAAGCACTTTCAAACTTTCCACTATGATATTGTAACAAATTAAATGGGCAGATACAGAAGAGAGGGGGGCTTATATTCATTGGGAATTATGGTTCGGAGCATCTGGACCCCCACTTTCCATAGGGACCAATCTTGTAACAGGGATACTACTTAAGGAAGGGGCAGAGGACGGGCAAAAGGAAACACCCCTGATTGCAGCAATATCATTTGGGGGGGGGGGTCTTACTGGTCTAGGTTTATGATATTCAATAGGAAACAATCAATCTCAAAATCATGCATAACAGATAAATTGCAAACTTACTTAAAGAATGGAAAATTAAACTTTTTGTGATCAGTTATCACTTGGTCCAGCACTTCATTAGAGATAATGTCCACATTCTTCTTTTCTTTTTCTGATTGCAACATATCAGTTATACGAGTGAAAGATTCAGGTGTAAAATGTTGATAACTGCTAAGTTTCTCTTCACATACATCAATAGCAACAATATCATCATTCGTTACAGGCTGTTTATCTTTGATTTCCATCATTAAAGCTAGGGTATCATGTGGTTTCTCCTCAAGAGAGCTTTTGTAAGAAAGCACTTTGGAATCAAAGTTTTTTCCTAACTGTCGCTGAAAACTTATAACCATATCTGGGGACATGCCAATACCTAATCGGTTCAATCTGGTCATATCTTGATAAGACACTCCACTGTGAAACAAAATGCTGGACACTCTGTATGTCAGAGCAGACATAGACTTGTTACGAACTCGAGCTATCGCAGAAGTGGCGAGAGCAACAGAATTGATGGCATTCGTATTGTCATACTCGTGCATTTGTTGCAGCTGAACACTACACGCTCCACTTACGCACGAACTCCAAAGGGGGCATCTTTCAGTAATTTCCTTAATAATTGTACTGTTCGAAAACGCAATTAATTCTTCAGTTGAACGACGCTTCAAAATAGTGTCAGAATTACAGTACTGTTTGAACTCATTGTTAGTAGCGGACCGCACAGCTTTTAGGATTTCTGGTTTTAATTCCCGGTGCGTGAGGACAATGTGGGACACTGCTTTCCAATTATTTAAAACTATGTTCTTCACAAGCCGAATAGTGTCGTTCTCATCGCTAGATGGTACTTTAACATCGGTTCTTCCATTAGGCCACAATATTAACACCTTTACTCGGGTCTGCTTTTGTACTTTCTCTTCGTCGTCATGACAAATAATATCATCAATATTGAGAAGCGAATCTTCATTATGATCCTTGTTTATAGTGTTATCAAACTGCTTGCCAAGCGATCTCTTCAGTCTGATCGTTCCTGTCTTTTGTGTCTTTTTTGATATAGGACTTCGCTCTGGAGTAGAAACAGTCGTTGGCAGAGTTCTTTTCGTGCGTGACGTATTTATAGTATCATGAACCCCTGTGGCTGTAGTTTCGACCTCTTGATCTCTCATGAATATTGGATTAATGGTATTAATGTTATGCAAAAGAAACAAAAACCCTGCACATGCATTCCGTATTTTAGTAGCACAAGGCTTACAAAGTCTTTCTGATAAATCGGATTTTCTCTCCACCTTTATTCCAATCGCATCCACATTCTGCGCTAAAATTTGCCCTTCGAATCCCTTTTTTTTAGATGCATTAAAAACATTTTCAGTGGATACAGACTTCCAAGAGTCTCCATACTGAACTCTTAGGGATAATTTACAACACCTACAATAATCGTTCGAATTTAGTTTCTTATGTTTTGCAGTTGGAACTAATTTTTTAGGTGTTTCGTTTATATTCGACATTGTTAAAATATCCTAGAAATATCCAGGACAAAGTTGTTTTTGTTGTCAACGCCTGCGATACAATGTTAAAACGTATTTCCGGTCTGCGTTGATTGGTCATTATTAATTGATTTGTGACATGCTAATTGAAGGGGCGGCACACGAACATCATAGGGATCCTTGCAGGCTCTCTTTCACCCAGAGAGCCTGCTCGCAGGCTACTGTGCAGCATACTTTGGTATTTGCTCTGCCAGCAAGACAACTCCAGCCAATTTTACTTGTCATTGATAGTGATTTCTAGTTGATGTGTAGTGTACTATTAAAAGTAACATTTGGAATAATCAAACTGATATCTGTTATTGAAATTTCAAATTAGAATCGTCAAAAAACCCACTATATTATAATTTATGGCATTTCTGCATGTTCAGTTGCTAGCAGTGGCATAGCCGGCCCGACGAATTGGACCCGCTGTGCAAATTTCAGCTCATCATTGTTCACTTCTTTAGAAATTATAACATTGTACCAGAATACTGTAACTATATACTTACTGAAATTTAAGACTGTTCAAGAATATTTATTGTCTATCACCATTACATAATCTACCCATCAACTGGCAATGCACGCATGCAGATGCACGTACTATCAAATTCGTATTTGACTCTGTCTAAAGCAATACAATTTTACTCATCAGTGGAAGAATACTGCCAGTTAATGGCTTAATTAACAACTATTGATGTCCACCCTGGGATGGTTGTTCATTTAATTTGGGATTTGCAAGGTGAAGTTCTTCAATTGGCAGACCTCTGACCTCTCTGAGAGAGAACTGCCAAGTGGTGAAATTGGCATGAACAATCGTATGACCTATTGGCTCTGGGTTGAACACTTGTAAATACTTATAAATACTGAATTTAAATACACTAGAAATAACAAATTGTATACATTGACTGGAAATGCACAAGTTTAATATTCAAGGAAGATTCAAAACCACTTTCAAGTATGTTTTTCTATTGTTCTAATTTTTATCAGATTAGCCCATACTTTGGTTCCATGCCTAACACCACCCAATTTTACTTGTCATTGGCAATTTGCCAGTGGCTTGTTAATCCACTAGTGGGTGAACTGGCAATGTGTCCAGCAAATGCACCCTACATTACATTTTTTTGAAAGAGTAGCAATTGCAAGTTAATGGTTAATTCATTAGGGCAAGGGATGCCTGCCAAAACAACTCCAGGGTCAACATGTCTTAGGGGCTGATGACATGGGGATTTTTCAGCCCGGGCTCAATTTCAACCCAGTTAACCAAGCTGAAATTGTTTCACGATTACATGACAAAGTTCAGTCCGGGGTGAGTTAGAATTTCAATTCAAACCGGGGTGAAATCTCAGCCTGGGATGAGACGATCAAGTCTCAAAATGGAGGTATTCCGCTTCTTCGAATAATTTAAAATGTTGTTCATGTCTATTATTTGACTTCTGCGAGAGTGTGGTTGCTTTTAAAAATAGAACAGACAAAAATAAAGCCACTTAAACGCTGTTGTTTCAACCTGGGTTGAAATTTCCTGTCGATTACATGGCGATTTTCACCCCGGTTAACCGGGTTGAAATTTTCAGCCCGGGTAGCTTCAACCGGGCTGAAACTTCAGCCCAAGCTGAAATTTTTGTCATGCAATCGTTTGATGTGTATTAATAGGATTTTATCCTCAGACCGGGCTGATATTTCAGCCCGGGAAACCGGGATGAAACTCAGCCGGGCTGAAAACTCTTCATGTAATCAGCCCCTTAACCAGGTTTGAATTGTTTGGTTTGATAAAGCCTGTATGATGGCTATATCATGATAGGAGTGCAATTGTGAAAACCTAACCAACTAACCATTGAAGCATTTGTAAATAATATATTAGTTTTGGGAGTCATAAATCTGCCATCCCAATGTTATATTTTCAAACCTATGGTTCAATTAATCTCAATATGAAAACAGAGTTATTACTGAAGATAAATGAATTGTATGTTTTCAAATTTTACAAAATGTATAATATCACTTTCTTTTCACTACTGCTTTGGTAAGGCAAAAGCTTGACCACGTTTTGTATCGTTTTCATACTCGATAATATAATCTTTGGCACGGTTGAATTCACCTGACTTTTTTATATCGCATCCCACATTGTTTCCAACGATTGAAATGTACTTTTCATAGTATAGCTTCTACAATGTCAATGAACTAATGAAGTAAATGTACCTTTATATATAAACACATAGATACTTCGTACAATAGATTCCCCATGTGTTGTAAAGTGTTTTGAATTAGTACCTATGCGGCTATATGCCTTGTAATTTGGCACTAAGGTCGCAAATTTGTCGCACACATATTGTAGCACGGAAAAGACTTCACTGTCGATAGGGCAGCAGAAAAATCAGTATTTAATACAACTGTTTTTGTTCCGGTAATAGTAACAGGGGCCTCGATGCTATAAAAATCTTCGTCTATAAATGAACGTATTCGCTCTCTCGTTCGTCTTCCAAACGATAGCGTCATTTCCGATTGTTGAAAACTCTCTTTGCTTTTATTATTACTCTTTTCAAATGTCTGCATCGATTGAGAAATCACTCCTCTTTCGATATCAGTATCCATCGTTATTACAAATGCTCCAAAAGATACAAAAATGCTTTTGTTATCAGTATTAACCCAATACTTTCAATATAATTTCTTACAAACGCAACACAAGCGTCCCTCCTATCTCGGCACGTTACATTTTTTTTCCTTTGTGCCGTCAACATAATTTGCCGTCTGCCTTTGAAGTTTGCCGGCTAGCCTAACCATCCTCCTATATATTAACCGTGATTCTACATAATTAATTGTGTAATCATTTCTGCGCACAGGATTCTTGTGAGATTTTCTTTGGTTGGGAAGCATAATCAGGCATCCGTACATGAATGAATGCATTGGCGTACGGGCGGAATGATATTAGGACGGGGCGGAAACAATTTACCCAAAAATGATGTAGGCCTAAATTGCTCGATATTATCCCACATTTTTTTATAGATGAATGTTAGGCCTAAATAGAACAAAACATCTCCATTAAAGACGTGTTAAAATAAAGCCAATCTAAAAACGATGAATTAAAAATTATGGAACTGATTCACCAGTAGTTTAGTGCTCTCATGCTTTAAGATACATCGAAAACTCCTCACTCTAGTGCATGCAATTTGAGTTTAATGAAACAAATTTCAAACTGTCAATCAGTTTCTCTGGCTGAATCGTTCGCACGAATTCTGGAGTTGGTTGATGCTATGCGCGTAATTTGATTAGATGTTCAACTCCGGATCAATCCTTTTATTATTCACCTCGGCACCAAAACAAATGTTTCGTTTTAGTTCGGTTACAGCGGCGAGCAAACTTTTTTACCAAACGAAGATGGGATTCACTAAACAAAAGAAAGCCACGAAGTTTTCTTTAACAAAATGTGGACATATTATTCAAAACTATTTCCAATTAATAACATTACCAAAAGCTTGCAAATAATGTTTTGTTCAAAACTATTACGATAACTGTAATAAATTTTTTGCCTATATTGTTTTGTTATGTTACATGCCTGTATTATTCACCTCTGATCTTCCACGGTGAGTATATTTGCTAATTATATTAACATAGCTACATTAATCTCATGACACAATACATTACCCAGGCAAAAAAGTCTTGCAACTGTCAGATTTTTTACCACGCCAGGCCCCCCTAGCTCGTGCACCTGTGAACAAATGAAAGTTTAGTGTTTCTAGGCACTGCATGATATTTAAAGTTATGGAGAGTTATTAGCGAAAGTGAAAGATAATGGCATGCATGGATAGTCTTTTTCATAATATTTATTTTATTCGTCTCATTCTTTTTTTCTAAAAGCCCCACTTGTTTTTCGTGCGTGAACAATCACATCGGTTTGGCATTTTTGTTTGGTTTGTGGTGTTACAAAATGCGTTTATTGGATTAAAACATTGACTAATCAAATGATTAATAATGCAGCCTTGAACCAGTATTTCGGGAAGACGAAAGCAAAATTTTCTCAATAATGCCAAACCATACGAACCAAAAATAGATAAAAGATTTAATTAACTCGTCAAGGTTTGATTGAAAAACATATGGAAACCAAAATTTTAAAATTTGTATTTGAATGCAGTCGTAATCTTCAATCACATCAATGCGTTTGCAACCTTACGACGCGAACAACGACTTTCAAACTTTTGTTCCCTAAAGAAAATAAAAGGTATGTATTTCTGGCATGGCAGTTATATTATCCAAACTAAATAATTTTAGTATAAATCTACTAGTAGGCCATCATGTATCGTGCGTGCTGATTGGCTACGCTGCTAGTAGGCTATTAGTGGTAGCCTACTAGTAGCAACAAGTGAAGGGCGCAAGAGTCAATGTCCGGTTTTTAAGTATTAAAAGCTGCATTTAAACGAAAAAACTGATCAAAATGGCCTAAATGGTTCTGGATTACACACAAACAAACATTCTTGGAAACTGCTGACAAATATGGTAAAATTTTGTCAATTTTGCTCGTAGTTTTGAACATGAAAGTGACAGGCGATTTTTTAAATACTGACCATGTTTGTTAATACTCCAAGTACAATCTTTGAAAATCGGCAATAGTTTGTAGCTACTTACCCCTATTTTATCAACCTAGTTCTAATGTGTGCTTGTTTTAAGTATATGAGTTCCATGTATTTAGCTATCATTTAGAGTTTTTTTCGTTTATTAAAATGTCGAGATTTTAGCCAAGTTTGTTTTTCACCTTTTTTGAGCCTTTTTAATCGAGCTTTTCGATTAAATTTTAGTCTAAACTTTTGTCATGTATATTAGATAATGCAAATCGTTTGCCTCTTTGTTTTTCCAGATATTTTAAAGATTTTAACGAACTTTTTAACGATTCTTTCGCTTGCATTTTTATTCGGCTTTTTAACGGCATATAGTAAAACGCGGACTGGACTGGACTGGACTGGTAAAACGCGGACTGGACTCAGATTAGTAAAACG